GTGCTTAGGATCACATCCTAAATAAACATATGCACTAAGACTGTGAATGAAATGAGGGAGAACCATTCAGGCTAAAGACACTCAAAGCCAAACTACAAAGAAGGTCCTTTTGACAAAAATCTCCTTACAGGAACTCAGCCCAATCCAGACCTTCTTTCTTGTGTTGGAAAGTTTTTGTTCTTTGTTTTATTTGTTTGTTTTTGCATAATTAGCATTGTAATAATAGTGAAGTAGACATTAAAAAATCCCCACTGCTCTGAACACAAATCGAGGTTTTCAGGCTTATCATAAGCTGGTAAACAAAACAAAACAAAAACCCCAAAAAGAGATTGAATAGTGTATCATTAACATTTTTGCAAAGATCTTTAACCAAAGTTGCTGTCAGTTTTCCAGGCTGTATGGCATGTATAATAAGGGACACCTGGTGAATTTAATTTCCTCAAGACTTTTGATGTGCACATAAATGTTAAAAATGGGCCTAGACATCAAAAAGATAAGTAGTAGAACCACTGGGTTGCTGTGCATTTTCCGGGCTGTCTGGCCATGTTCCAGAAGCATTCTCTCCTGACATTTCACCTGCATCTATGGCAGGTATCCTCAGAGGTCGTGAGGTCTGTTGGAAACTTGGCAAACTGGGTTTATATATCTGTGGAATGTCCAGGGTGGGAGAAAGAACTCTTGTCTGTTTGAGGCAAGTGTGAATGTTGCAATCAGCCACCTTGATTAGCATCGAAAAACCTTGCAGCTTCAAAGCCTGGGTGCTTCCTTCCTGGGGGAATCCTTTATTGGGAGGTGTTAGCTGGCCCTCAATGTTTTAGTGTTGTTCTTTATTTACTGTCCTGGATTTAGAGTTTTTAAAATAGCGGTAGCCAGATTTTGTTCATTTTCATGGTTTCCTCCTTTCTGTTTAAATTGTCCAAAATGTTTGTGGATTTCAGTGGCTTCTCTGACATTATGATTATTAGAGTGGACCATTATGACATTATGATTATTAGAGTGGACCAGCATTTCTGCGCTCTCAAAGAAAATGCTGTGTCCAGATTGGATCATCAGGTGCTCTGCTATGGCTGACTTCTCAGGTTGAATTAGTCTGCAGTGCCTTTCATGTTCCTTGATTCATGTTTGGGCAATGTTGCTGCGTTTGGTGGTCCCTATGTAGACGTGTCCACAGCTGCATGGTACACGGTAGACTCCTTCAGAGGGGAGAGGATCCCTCTTGTCATTTGCTGAACATAGACTTTGCTGAATTTTCGTAGTGGGTCTGTAGATAGTTTGTATGTTGTGTTTCTTCATCAGCTTCCCAATATGGTCAGTGTTTCCCTTGATGTATGGCAAGAACACTTTTGTTATGCGTTGATCTTTGTCTTTACTCTTGTGGCTTGTTCTTGGTCTTGCAGCTCTTCGGATGTCTTTCTTGTGTTCTGTCATGTTGGGACATTTTAGTTCTTTGTTTTGTTTGTTTTTGCATAATTGGCATTGGGATAATGGCAAAGTAGGACTTTGCAAAGATCTTGAACCAAGTTTTTAAGTTAATTGAAACAAAAAAATTCTTGTCCAGCTGTTTCTATGTGTGCTTATAAAAGAAAAGAGGGAAGATCCTATATTTGGCATGATCTGCTCACTATTTTAAAAAAATCTTCCCACTGAATTGATTTATACTTTGTTCTTGTGAAGTCTAAACAATTGGTGAAAAACTGGAATTATTACTCTTGCAGCTGCCTGTCTGATAATCTTGGGTTGGATCCAAACCTAGTTATGTTTACAGTTGCTCCAGTGAAATCATTCAGTAGGAAATGTTTGACATGTTTCAGTGTTTCTTAAATGAGCCCATAAATATGCGTGGCCAAGCATAATCAGGGTGTGGTCAAGATGGCAATGAACACATAAGATGAAAGATGCTGCAGCAGTTTGCTTTTGCCTGAGACCCCATATAAACTGCCATATAAAATCCACATTATACATTTACTATATTTATACCCTGCCATCAATCACCCTGAAGGGGACTCAACTGCTTACAAGTATTATATGTATATACAATCTATTATATTATTAGCATAGCATAGCACAATATTAGTATTATATATTACTATATGGTGGGAGCCCTCGGTGGCACAGTGGGTTAAACCACTGAACTGTTAAGCTTGTAGGTCACAGGTTCGAAACTGGGGAAATGGCATGAGCTTCCACTGTCAGCCCCAGCTTCTGCCAGCCTAACAGTTCGAAAACATGCAACTGTGAGTAGATCAATAGGTACCGCTCTGGTGGGAAGGTAACGATGCTCCATGCAATCATGCTGGCCAGATGACCTTGAAGGTGTCTAAGGACAGCGCCAGTTCTTTGGCTTAGAAATTGAGATGAGTGCCACATCCCAGAGTCGGACACAACTAGACTTAATGTCAGGGGAAACCCTTTACCCCCCATTAATTACTATATTGTACTGTAACACTATACTGCAATATTATTAGTAATATTTCATGTAATGTATAATATACAATTATTATTATATTATTAGTATAATATTGTATTACACTATATTATCATTATAAATATTATATGTATATTCAATATTATAATAATAATAAAACTTTATTTATATTCCGCTCTATCTCCCCAAAGTACTCAGGGTGGATTCACATAGCACAATATTAGTATTATATATTACTATATTGTTCTATACCACTGTACTGCAATATTATTAGTAGTATTTCATATAATATATAATTATTATATTGTATTATTAGTAATATAATGTATTACATTGAGGCCATCTGTTGGGGTCAGGGGCAGCTCAACCCATTAAGCATTTGCAGTATAGTTGATTTTGCCCAGGGGCGCTCTTGGGGGAAAATAGACCTTCACATATGCGAGTTGTAGTTACTGGGATGTATAGTTCACCTACAATCAAAGAGCATTCTGAACTCCACCAATGATGGAATTGAACCAAATATGGCACACAGAACTCCCACGATGAACAGAAAATATATATCAGTGATTGGCGGGGGGGGGGGGGGCAAAATACTGTTTGCTTACCATTGAAAATTACCTAGGGCCGCCTCTGGTTGGGGTAGAGAAGGGCGGGGCACAAGTATGGCAAATAAATAAATAAATGTATATGCAATATATTGTATTGTTAGCATAGCACAAAATTATGTACTTTGAGCTAGAATATATGGCAGTGTAGACTCAGACCCCTCCTACACTGCCATGTAATCCAAATTATCAAAGCAGAAAATCTACATTATCTGCTTTGAAGTGGATTATATGAATTTGCAATGCCATATACTCCAGTTCAAAGCAGATAATCTGGATTTTATATGGCAGTGTAGATGGGGGCCTTACTATAATCCAGTTCAAAGAAGATAATTGGATTGTCAGATTTGAAAATCTGGATTATATGGCAGTATTCCGTCTGAATCTTTTGGGAAGGGTGAGACTTCAGGTCCTCCTCTTCTCCCTACTGTTTTAAACCTGGATTATATGGCAGTTTTCTGTCTGAATCTTTTGGGATGGGCAAGATTTCAGGTCCTCCTCTTCTCCTACTGTGCTAAATGAATGCAAACTACTTTTGCATCTTGAACCCAGGGTGCAGCCACATTATGGAATTAATGCAGTTCTGGCATGCTTCAATGCCGGAACATCTTTAGCTTCCTCTGTTAAAGAGTTTACATGCTGCAAATTCCAAGATTCCATGTCATTGGGTCATTACAGTTAAAAGTAGTGCCAAACTGCATTAATTCCATGGTATGGATATGGCATGAGCAAACTTTGGCCCTCCAGGTGTTTTGGACTTCAACTCCCACAATTCCTAACAGCCAGTAGGCTGTTAGGAATTGTGGGAGTTGAAGTCCAAAACACCTGGAGGGCCGAAGTTTGCCCATGCCTGGTGTAGATTCACTCCCAGTTTGCCACATTGGAAGTAAACTGATGGCAAATGAGGAAGGTGAGAATAAAACTGGGATATTTTAAATGCATCTGAAAAACATGGGATTGCAAAGTATTCTTCAACACTGGTCCTGTTGTGTTGGGACACTTGGAGAGTATGCTGCTGAAATGTCTCACATCATTCCATGAAGTCATTCTGCTCTAACCCTTCATCTAAAAGTGACATGTATTTGCTGTTTTTTAAGTATACAGTCTCGAACTAAGCACAGCAGTGCCTGTTCCTGTAGCAAAACAGTAATGGCTCTGGCAAAGTTGACACCGCTCTAAGTCTGTTTTTATGCCTGTGCACCTGCGAAAGGCAGATGGCTTCCTGAGGGTCTTGCTTCCAAGTGTTTATCCCCAATGAGACTCAGGGGGGTGATTTGGATTAAGCATAGTCTCTTGCATGTACCAGTAAAAGGATATTTTGATATGGAAAAACAGTAAGTTCATGTCATACACACTCCTGAAATGCAATTCTTATGTTTTTCGATGTTGGCGGTGGCCGTTAGCAAGAGATTAAAAGCCCTAAGTTCACATATTCACATATGCCTCCTTTAACCAGAATAGCAGACAGATGGGATGTGTCTTTTGTGTCTGACAGTGACTCGAGCTTGCTCAGTCTTGCATCCTTGAGTGCCGAAATTAACATTTTACGAGATAGCAAACGACAGGTAGGCAGACAGAAGACTAATTCTAAAACATGTAGAGACAGGGGAAGATTCTGGCCAGGGGGCTTTCAGAGAGGCTTGGCATTTTTAGGAGGTATGGTTGTTTTATTCAGGAACAGTTCTACTCAGAGAGGTGGTCCATAGAGTCAAGGTAGAGGTAAAGGTTTTCCCTCACATTGTCCAGTCATGTCCGACTCTGGGGTGTGGTGCTAGTCTCCATTTCTAAGCCAAAGAGCCGGCGTTGTCCGTAAACACCTCCTAGGTCATGTGGCCGGCATGACTGCATGCAGCACTGTTACTTTCCCACCGGAGATTGAGAAACACTGCTATAGAGAAATACACAACTATTCCTTATTGTCTCAGCTGGCCCCAGTCCTTAGTTTTTCTTTTGGATCTTATTCGTTACAGATTGGGAACTTGGAAGACTACTACCACTTTCATCACAGCAAAACCATTAAAAGGTCAACATTCAGCAGCAGAGGGCCACACAACTTCCTCAGAATGGACCCAAAGGTAAGTCCGTTATTTACCTTACAGAAGCTGCGAGTGACCGCAGCAGTTTGCTTTTGCCTGCATCTACAGGCAAGGGACCTCACAACCTCTGAGGATGCTTGCCATAGATGCAGGCAAAACGTCAGGAGAGAATGCCTCTAGAACATGGCCATATAGCCTGCAAAAACCTTTCCTCTTCCTTTCTTTGGTTGAATGCACATTACTTTTCTACTTTGAATTCGATTTACAGAAACAGAAGTAAGCTGAGGACACTGAAAGGGAGGAGAGAGGAACTGGGACATTTTAAAAGCAGCTGAAAATGGGATGACGGAGGATTATTTGGGATCATCTCAGGACAGTTGGAGGGCACAATATTGCTTTCTTTGGTTGACGCATTCCAGTTGATTCTCTGATTGAAGCAGTGTTTTAATTTTCTCCAGGCTTTTTTTTTTTTTACTTTTCCACATCAAGAAACACTTTCAAACCCTCCTTACAAAATCTTTGGTGCAAACTATTGTGAGGGGCACTGTAGGCTGGAAAACACCTTGACCTGGATGATAAATGCAGTGATACAATGCTTGCAAATATTTAATCACCTGGAAAGAAGTGACGAGTGCCACAGGGTTCTGTCCTGGGCCCAGTTCAATATCTTTCTTCATGACTTAGATGAAGGGTTAGGATGCATGGTTGTCAAGTTTTCAGACAACACCAAATTGGGAGGGATAGGTAATACCTCAGAAGACAGGAGCCATCTTAACAGATTAAAGAGGTGGGCCAAAACTAACAAAATGAAGTTCAACAGTGGCAAATGCAAGATACTCCACTTAGGCAGAAAAAAATGAAATGCAGATACAGAATGGGGGACGATACCTGGCTCAACAGCAGGACGTGTGAAAAAGGGGACAGAAAGGGAAACATGAGCCAACAATGTGATGAGGCAACTAAAAAAGCCAATGGGAATTTGGCCTGCATAAATGTGAATACGGCCTAGATCCAGGGAAGTTTTACTACCCCCCTATACTGCCTTGGTCAGACCACATCTGGAATGGACAACACAATTGAAAAGAGATGTTGACAACCTGGAATGTGTCCAAAGGAGGGTGACTAAAATGATCAAGGGTTTGGAGAACAAGCCCTATGAGGAGCTGGGCATGTTTAGCTTTCAGAAGAGAAGGCTAAGAGGAGACATGATAGCCAATGTATAAATATATGAGAGGAAGTCATAGGAAGGAAGGAGCAACCTTGTTTTCTGATGTCCTGGAGACTAGGATGTGGAACAGTGGCTTCAAACTACAGGAAAGGAGATTCCACCTGAACATGAGGAAGAACTTCCTAACTGTGTAAGGAGAGCTGTTCATCAGTGGAACTCTCTCTCAACCCCAGAGTGTGGTGGAGGTCCCTTCTTTGGAGGCTTTTAAAGAGAGGCTGGATGGCAATCTGTCAGGGGTGCTTTGAATGTGATTTTTCTGTTCCTTGGGAAAATGGGGTTGGACTGGATGTCTCAAGAGGTCTCTTCCAACTCTATCATTCCATGATATTTGGCTTTTTCACTCATAATTCCAGAGCCTAATGCTTTTTTGATTGAATATTTTGGGGTATAAGAGATGAAATGTTGAAAACCTCTCCTCGAAACTTTGGCTGAAGCTATGATAGAACACCTAAACAAAACAAAAATATGCCCCTTTTTACTTTCCTTTCACACCATAATAAATATAACATTAAGGATCCGGTGCCAATTTCTGTCAATTTCCAGAAAAGAGTTGGCTAACAATTCCTCCTCGGTGTTGAGTTTCAGAGCCTTAGGGAAGCTGGATAAACGCTTGGCACAGTCGGGAGGGACACAAATCCATATCTGCAGGAGAAAGGCAGGTGCTTTCGTCTGCTCTGACTCCAGCCAAATAAATGTTCATTCATTCTGTTGGCATTTACCTAGCTGGGCTGATTTAAGCTCTGGCAAATAAAATAAGATAAAATAAAATAGCACTTGGTGCTAACTTGGACTCGTAATTCATAAGCACATTTCTACCTCGCTTTAGCTGATCGCTTTGCTGTTTAACAGGTGTATCTAATATCTAGGCATGAATATGCAGCAGGGATGAGAAAAGAAGGCTTTCCGAAATCAAACGTGTGTGTTACTCATAGCCTACAACATTTCCCAAATGAAAATCAGGACACATGTGCGGCCAAGCAATACCAGAGAATGGGCAAGATAGCAAAAGTAATTTATGAGGAAGAACACACAAACCAGGAGAGACTGCAACAAGCATGATAACATAATAAATAAACATTTTATTTCTAAAATATTCGGTTCCCATACTGCTCTTCTCAGTGTGGGAATAAGTGATACCCAGAGCCAGATCTACAGTGCCATAGAATCCAGATTATCAAAGCAGATAATCTACACTGTCTGCTTTGAACAAGATTATATGAGTCTACATTGCCATAGAATCCTATTCAAAGCAGATAATCTGGATTTTATATGGCAGTGTAGATGAGTCCTAAAACAGGTGGGCTACCAGTTTCCTAGGGTAAAGTAGTTATTAGCTGAGAAGCTCATAGTCATATTTGTAGCTGAAAATACGACCATGAGAAGAGCAGGATAAGGTCAGACAAAAATCTAGAGCAGGAGTTCCTAGTTTGTGGTCTGTGGACCATCAGTGGTCCACAAAAACTAAAATATGGTCCATGGCCTCTCTGCAACATTGCAACAAGAGCAACTGGTCTCGCAAAACCCTCTTATAGTGCCAAAGTTTATTAAATATCGTTTTCTGTGGGTGAGCAGATGGTGACTACTGGATGGCATATGTTCTGTATCAGAAACTAGAGCGGATGTGGTCTATCCAGTGTAATTTTCTGAATCAGCACCCCAAATAACCAAGCTGAATCTAAAGTTGACCAAAAAATGATTTGCAACCCTTTTGGTACTAATGTTGGAGAATGGTCCCTGGTCAAAGTGGTCCCTGGTAAAAAAAAAAAAAACCCTTCGGAAACCACTGATCTCGAGCTATATCCCTACTCTCCAATATTTCGCCCATGAAAACTTGGCTATCTCTGGCCAACTAGCATGTGGTGAGATGATATCAGACATTGAGGAAAAACATACATACTAGGAGATGCTGCAGCAGTTTGCTTTTGGCTGAGGCTCCTGGGAATGGCACAGTTCCACCCAATATGGAATGATCAAAGTAATAATAATAATAATAATAATAATAATAATAATAATAATAATAACCATCATCATCTTTATTTATATCCCGCCACCATCTCCCCAAAGGAACTCGGGCCAGCTTACAAGGCACTCCAGGGTGCACATATAACAGTACAAAACTATAAAACAAGTCACATAAAATTATAACAACAACCTCCGTCAACACATGTAGCATAAAATCAAAATAATACAGTTTTAAAACAACAGTAGATAAAACTAACTGTCGTCAATTCACAAGGTGTCAAGTGTCCATTCAGCCTACTCAAGCTCAAAGGCTTGTCTGAACGTTCATGTTTTCATGTTTGAACCAAAGGATTGAAGGGTGAAGACTAATCTAATCTCTTTTGGGAGTGTATTCCATAGTTGTGGGGTCACCACAGAGAAGGCCCCCTCTCGTTCCCACCAACCATGCTTGAGACGGTGGTGGGATGGAGAAAAGAGCCCGCGTTGGTTTGTAGAAAGAGATAGGCTGAGAGCAAAAGAAGAAAGTGGGAGTGGAGAAGAAGAGAGAAACTGGGACCTTTCAAAAGCAGCTGAAAAAGCGGGGCAGAAGATGAACTGAGGAAACGAAAGGCTGGCTGTAATCTGTTTGCAAGTGTGGTCAGGCAAACCATGAATTCCCAAAGGATGCTTCTCATTAATGTCATGAATCCGGATATTACATTTTAATGGCTAGAAAATGATGCAATAAGTTTATTTAAGGCTTGGTGTTTTTTTGTTTTCTTTCCTCAAGGGAGTTGAATCACTCTGCTGGTTGATACATGCCTTGGCCTGCACATTGCAATATTTAGGTCATGTCAAAAGTTGCCCCGTAATCTGAGTTACGCATCTGTAGCCTACAATTACCAAGGCCAGTCTTTATTCTCTTGTGTATGGTTGCAGGCTCTTTCCTGAACCAAACATATGTATTAGAAAGGCCAAAGCCTTCTTTAGTTGTGGTTTACCCAGGGCACCTCTTCCATCATTGCTCTAAAGATGTTCTTGCTTGAGTAGAGAACCTTCACATCAAGGTTCTCAACTCAAGCAAGAACATGGGAAAATCTGGGTTCTGGATCGTATGGTGACTCTCCATATGAACAGGAAGCTCTGCTCTTCCAACATGCTACTTTCCATGTGAAGAAAGTCAACATACAGCATATTATTTGAGAACATGGAAATGCTGGACCACTCTAACAACTATCATGTCAGGCTACACAGAGAAGCCATTGAAATCCACAAGCATGTMGACAATTTCAAGAGAAAGGAGGAAACCATGAAAATGAACAAAATCTGGCTACCAGAATTTTTTAAAACTCCCAAATCAGGACAGTAAACAAAGCAACATTCAAAAKAGCAGGGGAATTCTAGACATAAATCAATCAGGGCCAGCGAACACTTCCAAACACAGGATTCCCCAGGCAGAAATCAGCAAGGCTTTTGAAGCACCAAGTGCTAATCAAAGTGGCCAATTACAACATTCACACTGACCTCAAGCAGACAGAGTTATTTCTCCCACCATGAACTGTCCACAAATATGTAAACCTCACTTGCCTAGTTTTCCAYCAGACCCCTCAACCTCTGAGGATGCCTTCAATAGATGTGGCTAAGCGTCAGGAGAGAATGCTTCTGGAACATGGCCATACAACCTGGAAAACTCACAGCAACCCAGTGATTCCGGCCATMAAAGCCTTCAACAACACAAAGTCAAGATGGGCAGCGGGGCTAGTTGTTTCTTTCTCTATGCTTTGATTCAAGCCACATAAGGTCACATTTTGATAGGAGAAGATTTAGAAAATAAGCCTGTCAAATTTGAAAGGATGTCAAATTGAGAAGTGGGCAAGCTTGTGTTCTGGTCTCTAGAGCAGGTATGGGCAAATGTGGGCCCTCCAGGTGTTTTGGACTTCAACTTCCACAATTCCTAACAGCCGGTAGGCTGTTAGGAATTGTGAGAGTTGAAGTCCAAAACACCTGGAGGGCCCAAGTTTGTCCATACCTGCTGTAGAGACTGCAACATGGAGCAATGGATGCAAATTGCAGGAAAAGAGATTCCACCTGAACATTAGGGGGAACCGTGACTTTTGGATGAGTGCATTATACATCTGATGCATCCTGTTTCTCCACAGTCATGACAGACACATCCATTGAAAAGGTCATGTCTGGTCTATCCCATCCGGGGATTGCCACTGATTATTACTGAAATGTTTGACTAAATCCCTGGATAGGAAACCTCCCATGCTGCGATTCTGCTAAAGGCTAGTTGAATTCCCCCCAGGATTCTTCCTACCTTGGTGCTTAATCCCAGATTTTATGGTTGTTTTCCTTGAAGAAACTATCCTCGCAGAAGCCGGAAAGAGAAAACAGAAACAAAATTAATTTCCCCCCTGCACTTGTGCGGTGCGGTTTTGCATCTATTCAGTGGAATTACCGTAATCCGGTTCTGTTTTAATTATGAATAAACATTTTCCCCCTTAGCTTCATACTTTCGGTCTGCTGCATGCTTATAATCAGGTTTATCATTAAATGTTTGGAAAGAAGTCTTTACAGCTGCAGAACATCTGCTCTGTCAAAGCTACTCGACAGCGTTCGGGAATATTTTACCTTGACCTTCATTTTTTAAACTCACATTTGTTTATGTGTTTGTATGAAATAGATTGTTGGCCTTAAATGGACTAACAGTTACATTGCTCTTTCAAAGTTTGCCTAGATCAGCGTTTCATAACCTGGGGGTCGGGACCCCTGGGGGGGGAACAAGGGGGGTTTCAAAGGGGTCGCCAAAGACCACCAGAAAACACATATTTCCGATGGTCTTAGGAACCCCTTTGGCAGAGAAGGCTGAAGATCCCACCGCCTGTCCTTGTCTTTCTTTTAGAATCATATAAACATAGAATCATAGAGTTGGAAAAGACCTTATGGGCCATCCAGTCCAACCCCATTCTGCCAAGAAGCAGGAAAATCACATTCAAAGCACCCCTGACAGATGGCCATCCAGCCTCTGTTTAAAAGCCTCCAAAAAAGGAGCCTCCACCACACTCTGGGGCAGAAAGTTCCACTGCTGAACAGCTCTCACAGTCAGGAAGTTCTTCCTAATGTTCAGATGGAATCTTCTTTCTTGTATTTTGAAGCCATTGTTCCACATCCTAGTTTCCAGGATAGCAGAAAACAAGCTTGCTCCCTCCTCCCTGTGACTTCCTCTCACATGGCTATCATGTCTCCCCTCAGCCTTTTCTTCAGACTAAACATGCCCAGCTCTTTAAGCCACTCCTCATAGGTCTTGTTCTCCAAACCCTTGATCATTTTAGTCTCCCTCCTCTGGACACATTTCAGCTTGTCAATATCTCTTCAATTGTGGTGCCCAGAATTGAACACAATATTCCAGGTGTGGTCTAACCAAGGCAAGAAAGTGGGGTAGCATGACTTCCCTGGATCTAGACACTAGACTCCTATTGATTCAGGCCAAAATTCCATTGGCTTTTTTTGCTGTTGCATCACATTGTTGGCTCATGTTTAACTTGTTGTCCACGAGGAGTCCAAGAACTTTTTAGAAACAGTTGGCGAATCCTCCCACCAAAAGCCCTCCTTCTGCTGTGATTGTAAGCAAACTTTAAATCCCAGCAACTACAACTCCCAAATGTCAAAGTCTATTTTCCCCAAACTCCACCAGTGTTAACGTATGGGCATATTGAGTATCCGTGCCAACTTTGGTCCAGATCCATCATTGTTTTGAGTCTACAGTGCTCTCTGGATGTAGGTGAAGTCCAACTCCCAAACTCAAGGTCAATGCCCACCAAACCCTTCCAGTATTTTCTGTTGATCATGGAAGTTCTGTGTACCAAGTTTGGTGCAATTCTATCATTGGTGGCATTCAGAATGTTCCTTGATTGTAGGTCAACTATAGATCCCAGCAACTGCAACTCCCAAATGACAAAATCAATCCCAACCCCACTGGTATTCAAATTTGGGTGTATCAGATATTTCAGCCAAATTTGGTCCAGTGAATGAAAATACATCCTGCATTTTGGAGATTTGCATTATGATTCATAACAGTAGCAAAATTAGAGTTATGAAGTAGAAGCAAAAATAATTTTATGGTTGGGGTCATCACAACATGAGGAACTGTCTTAAGGGGCTGCGGCATTAGGAAGGCTGAGAAACATTGGCCTAGATTGCAAAAGAAAGAGTCATCCGAAAAAGAAAAGAAAAGGGCTGCCTATCACAAAGGGAGAAGTTATTCATATTTCACCAGATAAGCAGCTGATGTTTTCCAGCTTTGTAGTTGGGCTTTTGGGGCTATAATACTGTACTCGCTTACCTGGGAATAATTCCATTTACCTCTGCAGCACTGATTGAGTAGAAATGATGAGATTACACGGCTGATAAAACGGAAAGGGTTTTGCTCCTTAAAATAAGAACAGTGGCCAGGAAGAAAGGAGACTCTAATGCGGTTGCACCTTGCCTTTGTAATTCCTTTCCTCAGGAGACCTATCAAGCCTCTTTATTCTAACGGATTAGAAGAAAACCTTTTAAATGTGGCCAAGGCTGCAGAAAATATACCACTAATAGATGAATCTTCTGTTTTTTACAGATACAATAGACTCCTTTTGCTCTTTTCATATTTGTATGTTTTTCATTTATCATATTTTTCATATTTATTTTATTTTTCATTTTTGTATGTTTTTATTTTGTTTTATTTATCATATTTATTTATAACAATTGGCCCTCCACATTTGTGACGTTGACTTTTTGCGGATTTGATTATTTGCATATTTTATTTCAAATGTTCTCTCTAAGCATCTTCAGGTCCTCTTAGCATAACTCTGTGGTTAACTTCCACACCAGAACTTGACTATAGAATATATGATCCTCCTATATAATCCTATGGCAGTGGTTCTCAACCTGTGGTCCCCAGGTGTTTTGACCTACAACTCCCAAAAATCCCAGCCAGTTTACCTGCTGTTAGGATTTCTGGGAGTTGAAGGCCAAAACATCTGGGGACACACAGGTTGAGAACCAAAGTCCTATGGTTTAACATTCAACATAAGTTGACTATAAAGCCAAGCTGCAGGATGTGAATGAATGAATAGGCAATCCCTTGTTGTCTGAGTATGACGGCCTTCCAAATGTAGTGTCTTGGTGGTGGATATGTGGCTGACTGTGGAGCCCTAATCTTCAACCACATGTTCTACCACAGTTGGAAGGCAGTCCTGGTCAGGGTTGGCTTGACGCGCCTTCCTCTTGGCACGTTTCTCCCTTTTGCCCTCCATTCGTGCCTCTTCTAATTCTTCAGCACTGCTAGTCACAGCTGACCTCCAGCTAGAGTGCTCAAGGGTGAAGGCTTCCCAATTCTTGGTGTCCATACAACAGTTTTTAAGGTTAGTTTTAAGCCCATCTTTAAATCTCTTTTCCTGGCCACCAACATTCCACTTTCCATTCTTGAGTTGGGAGTAGAGTAACTGCTTTAGGAGATAGTGATCGGACATTCAGACAACGTGGCATTCAGTCCAGCGGAGTTGATGGCGTAGGAGCATCGCTACAGTGTTGGTAGTCTTTGTTTCTTCCAGCATGGTGGCATTTGTCCACCTGTCTTCCCAAGAGATTTGCAGGATTTTTTCAAGGCAACGCTGATGGAATCATTCCAGGAGTTGAGTGTGATGTCTGTAGACAATCCACGTTTTGCAGGCGTATAACAGGGTTGGGAGGACAATAGCTTTATAGACAAGCACCTTGTTCACCCTATGGATGTCTCGATCCTCAAACACTCTTTGCTTTATTTGGAAAAATGTTGCACTCGCAGAGCTCAGGCGGTGTTGTATTTCAGTGTCACAATCCCAGTAAATGTAATGACCGACTGTTTTAATTGCAACACTAAGTCCCTATTTTAGCAAGCCTCTGGTAATCCCAATGGCAGGATTTAAATGTGTATGCAAATTATTCTTTCTATCTTTTAAAAAGAAAGCAAAACAGTTCACCATTGTTTTACTTTATATTTATAGGTGAGATGGCTGCAGCAGCAAGAGGTGAAACGAAGAGTCAAAAGACGCGTCCGACGCAACCCCAATTTTGCTTCCTTCAATGACCCACTTTGGCCTGAAATGTGGTACATGGTAACTATACACTTGTGTGTGTGTGTGTGAATGAGTACATGCATGCGCAGTGCACACAAATTGTCAAACTAGCTGGGAAAATTTTGTAGCTTCTTAGCTCATCGGGTGCTTTATCTGGAATACAGGTTGGATTAGGTTCAGAGAAGACCTTCCAATAATGAACTTATTATGGTATTATGGGGTTCTTTTGGCAAGATTTGTTCAAAGTGCATTTGCCTTTGTTTTCTGCTGATATAGTCTTGGCTTTTTAGCCATCCTGTTTTCTGTGTTATTTCTGTGTGGTGTGACACTTCTAGTTGTGGGGAACAAACATCTAGCTATTGCCCTCTTTTTGTCAGCATTGTGAAGACAATGACAGCGAATGCAGGTCAGAAATGAACATCATGGCAGCCTGGCAGCGGGGATATACTGGGAAAGATGTCGTCGTAACCATTCTCGATGATGGGATTGAGAAAAATCACCCAGATCTTGTCCAGAACTATGTAAGTAAAGCCCCAACTTAGACATTGTTTAAATATACATGAGTTAAGAAAGTTGGTGTTCCTTTAAACCACCTTCAATCGCAGAGCAAGGTATAAGTCCAATCTAATACATAAACAAAGGTCTAGTTCCTAAACCTTTTGTAAACAGTGTAAGTCTCCTGCCTGTTCAGAAGGCACATGTGCTCCAAAGCCTTTGTAAAAAGATTTGTTCTCAGGGCATGTCTTAACTGAGGTATGGCTGTACATCTAAGGCCATAAATCCTACGCAGGAGAGCTAAGTTCCTCTGAACTCATTTAACCTTTGAGAGCAGGTGTCAACAAAGGAATTCTCTGTAACAAGGATGTAGCGAGCTTGGTTGTGCTATACAAGAACTCCCAATGTACTGTCTCTGACTCTCTTAAACCTGACGCATAAACACAGAACGGAGGTGATGTTGTCCCGTGTGAACCAATGCAGTCTGCTTTGGCTGGTACAGGTTGGGTCGCCCTTAGAGGGAATGCTTCGGAACAGAAGCCTTTCACACTTTTTAGATTTTGGAATACTGGTTTTTTCATATGTGCAGATAACATACTTCATTATCTTGGATATGGGACCCAAAACTAAACACAAAATTAATTTATGTTTCATATGCTCTTAGGCTGAAGGTAATTTTAGACACTATTTTTAGACTAGATATGGTCTTACTCTTCTATGGACCACATCAGACGTAGAGTTCCCCCTGTTTCTACACACCTAAAAACAGTTTAAAGATGAAGTCCCACAAAGCCTATCAAACGAAGCAGGGGCGTTTCTGGTGGTTCCCCATGAGATTCAGTCTTTAAAATGTGTAGAATCTGAGCTTTTTTGAGTCAGGGAGCAATAGTCTTCAGATCTCTCAATTTGTGCAGAAACATCTAGAGGCACATGTAGCATGTGTCCTGTTTTGCCCCTGAAAAAGCCTTATAACAAGGGTTAAAGCAACTTTAAAAAAACTTCAGGAAATGATATTAATGTAACAAACAGCAGCAAGGGAACAGATGGTAAATCCCAAAAGCAAAGCAAAAAGTCTTACATCAGACATGAAGCTAGAGTCTTTGGCAAAAAGTATTTGTGAGTCACTTCGCAGAGCTGCAAGCAAGGAAAACGGAGCACAGAAGCACTAAGTACAATGGTTGCTGCCAGCATTGACCACTTGTTTTACTGCTGATGTATAACCCCCAGCTCTCAGCACAGGTGTTCCTAGGGTGATGTCTAATTGCTCAATGTCCTTGCAAGAATTCTAGCTGACCTCCTTTCTTCTTTTGCCCTTTGGTATTCCTGAAAAGTAGGAACTGGCAGTATTTTTTCTTCGCCCTTTTTTCTCCTCAACACTTGGCCCCAAATCCCCAACTCGTACATCTTCAGCCTCCTGTTCTACCTCCTCCTCCTCAGGAGTACACAACAGGATGGAAAATCTCAGATTCCCCCATTTGAGGTCATTGTTGTGACGTTAAAGAGTGGGTGTTCTTGTGGGTGGTCTCAAAATCTGCCCCAAGGCTCCTTTTCTCACCATTAATCATCATATATGAAACTTTTATGGTAATTTTTTAAAAATAATTTATTCTTTGGGAATTGCGCAATTTTGATATATAACCAGTTTGCTGTAGCTATATTTTCCCCTTTTCGTGGACCTGGAATTTCCCCAGTTTTGAGATAGAGTATTACTGTTTCTTTTCCCTTTTTTTCATTAAAAAATTGGAAACACCAGGGTTGTTCATCAAAGTTCTTGAAGCAATCACTCAGTATATCATATTTCAGACTTCTACAATTGCAAAATTTCCCCTTTTTATTTTAAAAAGAGAAAAGAAAGCAGTATGGGTGGAGACTACATTTCCTGTGGATATGCCTGGAAATAGATGGAGTCCATCACGTGTGATGGGGATGAATAAATTGTCCATTTTCTTAAAATTGGAAAGGCATGAAACATCACAATAGGAAGACAATTCCCCCTGCTTCCTGCTCCAAGTGTAATGAATTCCTATGTCTCCCTTAAACTAGTTTCAGACCATGGTATAACACTCATTTCTGGCATATGCTTTTTCTTCTGTCTTTCACATCTGAACACTATTTCTTGTTTCTAGTCATAGGTTATTAGATGTATAAATACAAACAATATCTCCCACCACTTTCTTTCTCTCTTTCTCTCAGGACCCTCGTGCAAGTTACGATGTCAATGGACATGATGAAGATCCGACTCCCCGCTATGATGCCAGCAACGAAAACAAGTGTGTCTGATTTTTCATGCCAACTTAATGCTTTGCACTGTGGAGGATTTGACTATTTTAGTCCTGTTTTAGCAGAATCTGATTAGTGCACCTCCTACCAGGCCATTTTGAGAAAATAGGAAAGTTTGGAAAAAGTTGTTTTCTTGGGACTCAACTGCCTTTGGTCATGTTTGTGGCAGGATTCTGGAAGTAGTAGTCCAAGAGTGCATCTACACCAGGCATGGGCAAACTTTGGCCATCCAGGTGCTTTGGACTTCAACTCCCACAATTTCTCAGGCCCCTTCCTTTTCCCCCCTCAGCCGCTTAAGTTTTGTTTCAGAGGAGGTTTTTGGCTGCAGGCAGGCGTGCGCATTTTCTGGGCCTGCATGTACTTTTTCCAAGGCAAGGAGGCAAGTTCTGTTACAAAGGAGGTGTCCAGCTGCAGGCAAGCGCATAAACTTTCTTGGCCTGCACGCCACACACATACTCTTTCCAAGGCCAAGGAGGCTGCTCAAATCTCACTTGCATTCGTGTGAAGCTGATTTTCGTACCGGGAAGGAGCTTCCCGTTATTTTTTTTATTTATTTCATTTACTTATACCCCGCCCTTCTCACCCCGGGGGGGACTCAGGGCGGCTTACAGTGGGGCACAATTAGATGCCCAAAACAATACACAAGCAATATGAAACAATCAACAATTAATTAAAACAACAGTACATATTAAAACAATAAAAACAATCTCATGCTCAGGGTTTCAGTGTCACCATATTCATTCCATTTCATTAGTCCTTGCTTATCCTCAGATCCATAGCTATCACCGACCAAAAGCTTGTTCCCAGATCCAGGTCTTTAGTTTTTTCCTAAATACTAGGAGGGAGGATGACAGGTCTTTAGTTTTTTCCTAAATACTAGGAGGGAGGGAGGTTATGTGCTCTCGAAGGTAATGAAAGTAACGAAATAACTGAAGAAATGAAGGAAAACGGATCGGCGTACAACTGTATCTCAGGCTTGACAAATAAGAGGGATTGTGCAGCAAAATCTGCAGGTATCTGGCTGCATGGAAATACAGACCAGATTTGCAAAAATCTGCCGGCTGCAACAATCCCCTTTTCTGTGGTTTTTTTCTCTTTTAATTATACTAATCCTCTGAGTGCTTCATTAATTTAATGGATTAGTTGTCAAAAGATTTTACACACTTCTGCAACTCATGAAAGCATGGGCTCTTGGGCAAGATCTTCCACCTGAGCACAGAGAGTAGAAGGGGCAGGGGGAAGTTAAAGTGGTGTCAACCTGCTAGATTTTTGCTGTAGTGCCAGTTTAGCTGTTTCTTATACCTTGTTGCAGGGATTAACTCCCCTTCCCCCTCCCATCTCAGGTATTAAGAGTGTTTGTGTCAATGGCTGAACCTTTCCATAAAATGTTTTTCCTAGGCACGGTACACGTTGTGCTGGAGAAGTGGCAGCATCAGCAAACAACTCGAACTGTATTGTGGGAATTGCATACAATGCAAGAATTGGGGGTAAGAAAGGCTTTTGTTTGATAATGCACAGTCTAAAATATATATTTTGTACTAAGAGGGCCACCTTGGGGATAAAGACGTTACAATAACCTATTAAAGACAGTAACAAAAGCCCATTACCACAAATGTTGCCATGCCTGTGGCTTTGGGTATGCATTTATGATCTCCCGCATAGGAGAAGATGTAGGTTTGTCACGTTGAGACGTGTGGCAGTGTTTCCTTGCTGTCTCAGAGGTCCAAATTGTATTGCTCAGCACACCAAGGAGCAAATATTCAAGCTACCTTGGTGCAGATTCATAGGCAATGTGTTCATTTTCTTTGGACCTTTCTATAATGTAGGGTATTCATGATCTTGAACTTGATGATTTCTTCTTATGGTCACTGCACATATTATGTGACACTTAGAGAGATAATGTAGACCGTTCATCTGATCTGCTCCTGCAGAATTCTGGGAAATGTAGTTTAGGAAGCCGAGGACCCCTGTAGCAGATAATTCCAAAGGCTCCGTCCTGAACTACATTTCCCAGAATTCTGCAGGAGCAACACTGGAGGGGAAATGTCCTCAGGCTATGCTTTTGCAAAGCAGATCTGAAGTCCAATCTAACTCTCTGAATCTGCTTGTATGGAAACTTTCTTTCTGGAGATACGTTTTGTCTCAGAACCAAGAAAGACAAGAGTCTGGTAAATTTATGTCCATCAGGTATGGATCTGGCTACAGGATAGGTCTATCCTTTAGCAAGAAAAGAATCATGTGAACAAAGAATGGAGAATATGTTTACCATTTCAAGGTTAGCACCATATTTGAACAGGACTCCAGCTGTGGCTTATCTGGTGAGAGCAGCTGGATCCGGGAAGCAGATTGGAATTTTAACTTTATATTCTGTTTTATTTTATTTTATTTGTCCATGCTCCAGACAGTGACAGTTTTAAGAGCTTGGATCTGATGTGGGGAATTTGAAATGGCAGCAGGCTTCCCAGCTGCTGCTGCTGGATAAGCCCACCTCAGTTGGGGGGAAGAACAAAGCCTGATGGGGCCAAGGCAAATGCCACTGATGCTGGAGAGTTACCAGATGAACTGGGCTCCACCACCTAGCGAGGGTCTTGGTGCTCTTGTTGACATTACTCCATTGATACACTCCCAGAAATCTGCGTAGTCTTTCTGTCCACATGCTATTTTCCCGGGCTGAACACAGTATCTAAGGTTACGTTGTTGCTGTTGTTGAATACAATAATACAACAACGATATCAACAACAGACAAGGGGAGTGTGACCCTGTTGGTTCTCCTGGATCCCTCTGTGGCTTTCAATACCATTGATCATGGTATCCTTTTGAGCCATCTCACTGGGAGGCACTGGGCTGTACCCAGAAGGTGGTGCTGGGGGACTCCTGTTTGAACCCCTGGCTGTTGTCCTGTGGAGTTCCTCGGGGTTCCATTTTGTCTCTCTGCTGTTATATGCATGAAACCGCTTGGAGAGTCATCCGGAGTTTTGGAGTTCGGTGCCACCCATATTCAGATGACACCCAATTCTCCTACTCCTTTCCACCTAAAACTAAGGAAGGTATCCGGTAGGCTGTTAGGAATTGTGGCCATTAAAGTCCAAAACACCCGGAGTGCCGAAATTTGCTCATACCTGATCTAGACAATATATCTCATCCAGATGCTCTTGAAACGGAGAAGCAACCACCCATTTCTCCAAACTGAATATTAGAGATTAGCTTATGGGTTTTATTTGATTGGTTTATTTATTTTATTGTGATGTTATTTTGTTGTTTATATTTTATGTTGCTGTAATGTATCTCTGGGCTTGGCCTCATGTAAGCCGCTCTGAGTCCCCTTTGGGGAGATGGTGATGGGTTATAAATAAAGATTATTATTATTATTATTATTATTATTATTATTATTATTATTATTTTACTGACACAAAAACACAGTATGTCACAGCAAACGAGATCTAAATGCTGGATTTTGTATCACAAAATCACAAGTCGAACACTTCCCAAGCGTCTAGGACTGTGTGATGTATTTTCGAATGATGCGCACAGATCCAAGTAAGGTGGCCTTTTGCAGTTGACAGATCGTGATTTTGTCAATGTTTATTGTTTCCAAATGCCAACTGAGGTCTTTTGGCATGGAACCCAGTGTGCCAATGACGACTGGGACCACCTGTACTGGTTTATGCCAGAGCCTTTGCAGTTCGATTTTGAGGTCTTGATAGCGGCTGAGTTTTTCCTGTTGTTTTTCCTCAATGCGACTGTCACCCGGTATGGCAACATCAATAATCCAGACTTTTTTCTTTTCCACGATCATGATGTCTGGCGTGTTGTGTTCCGAAACTTTGTCAGTGTGGATTCGAAAGTCCCACAGTATTTTTGCATGTTCATTTTCCATGACCTTTGTGGGTTTATGATCCCATCAATTCTTTACTGCTGGCAGGTGGTCCTTGTGACATAAGTTCCAGTGAATCATCTGGGCCACAGAGTTGTGTCTTTGTTTGTAGTCCGTCTGTGCGATTTTATTGCAACAGCTGAGGAGATGATCCATGGTTTCATCCGCTTCCTTGCTATTGTTGTTGTTGTTGTTGTTGATGATATTATTATTATTATTATTATTATTATTATTATTATTATTATTATTATTGGGATTATCCAGTATGGTAGAATCCAGGGAAGGTTGCCTTTTCCAGAAGAGGTCTTACAACAGCCTCCTTAGGTGTGCCAAGACCTGCTTTGTTTTAAATAGGCTTTGATGGCTCCTCTTACCTACTCAGCCAATTGTCTTCTGTCCTGTTTAATAAACCAGGAAGGACAAGGGTTTATCTAGTACATGTGTGATGGCTCTCGCCTCTCCAAGGATCCTGTCCACATCGTCAGGTTGCACAAATCAACACTCGTCAATATATTGGAAACCACTTTGAGTGCCCCCCCCGGGTGAGAAAAGCAGTATACAAGTGAAGTAAATAAATAAATAAATAACATAGGAAACAAAGGAGATTCCATCTGAACATTAGAAAGAACTTCCTGACTGTGAGAGCCATTCAGCAGTGGAACTCTCTGCCCCGGAGTGTGGTGGAGGCTCCTTCTTTGGAAGCTTTTAAACAGAGACTGGATGGCCATCTGTCAGGGGTGCTTTGAATGCAATACTCCTGCTTCTTGGCTGGGGTTGGATTGGATGGCCCATGAGGTCTCTTCCAACTCTTTGATTCTATGATTCTATGAAATTGTGAAGGATGCATCCATGGGAACTCTAGCATCAATCCAAGCAATTTTATCTGCAAAGTGGCAGGCAAATTCTTCTAAGTGGTCCATCATCAAATGTGTGTGTTTTGATGTGTAGAATCTACTTGATCTTAGATGTTTTCATCCATTAAAGAGAACTAAGTATTTTCTGCCAAGTTCCACTGACCTCAAATTCCTCTCTTTGATGGGAATGGGGTCACAGGAGTGCAGGCTCAGCGCTGGCAGGGAAGTGTCCTTCTAGCTGAGCAGGTATATCTAACTCAACTGTTGCAGCTGAATAATGTTGGCTGGTATAATCCCCTTGTTCCGCTGCAAAGAGCCAAAACATAGCCTGCAAGGGGAGATGGAGCTAGGTTGCTGTGCCTTGGGGATTTTTCAGCACTGAAGTGCTTTTAATGCAATGGATAAACAAAAACTTCTTGTCAACCTCTAGTATATGCCCTATGTTTGACTCTTAGGGTGAGTGGAGACTGAAGCCCCCTTGAGATTTAGGCCCCTTCTGCACTGCCACATAATCCTGATTCTCAAAGAATATAATCCACATTATCTGCTTTGAACTGGATTATATGAGTCTACACTGCCATATAATCCAGTTCAAAGCAGATAATCTGTATGAGTTTGGGAGAAAAGACAAGGCGTAAATAAAGTACTGTAGTACGGTACAGTAAAATACAAATCAACAGACATTGTTCATGGTATCCTAAGCCAAGTATTTACAGAAACATAGAGTTCAAAGGACTGGTGGCGCAGTGGGTTAAACCGTTGAGCTGCTGAGCTTGTTGACCGAAAGGTCGCAGGTTCGAATCTGGGGAGCGGCGTGAGCTTCCGCTGTCAGCCCCAGCTTCTGCTAACCTAGCAGTTCAAAAACATGCAAATGTGAGTAGATCAATAGGTACCATTCCAGCAGGAAGGTAACAGCATTCCTTGCTGTCATGCTGACCACATGACCTAGGAGGTGTCTATGGACAACGCCGGCTCTTTGGCTTAGAAATGGAGATGAGCACCACACCCCAGAGTCTTAGTGTCAGGGGAAAACATTTACCTTTACTAGAGTTTGAAGGAGACCCCAGTGGGTTAAAGTGCTAAGCTGCTGAAATTGCTGACCGAAAGGTTGCAGGTTCGAATCCAGGGAGCGACGTGAGCTCCCACTGTTAGCCCCAGCTTGTGCCAACCTAGCAGTTTGAAAACATGCAAATGTGAGTAGATCAATAGGTACTGCTCCAATGGGAAGATAACAGCACTCCATGAAGTCATGTTGGCTACATGACCTTGGAGGTGTCTACGGACAACACTGGCTCTTCGGTTTAGACATGGAGATGAGCACCAATGCCCCGAGTCAGACATGACTGGACATATTGTCAGGGGAAAATCTTTACCTTTACCTTAGAGTTGGAAGAGACCACAAAGGGCCCCTGCCACGCAGGGATACACCACTGGTGTAATACAAAGTTTCATGTCACCATAGAATTGGAGATGTTTACTGTGGTTTTGGGAGATTATAGCTCAGCACCACTTAGTTAGGATAAAAGATAATTGCATGCTTGTGTCCACCAAGGATGCTGCCTGCCAAATGTTTCTGGTTCCATAGTTGAATAACAAAGAGGCCCCTCTGAGAATTAGTGGTTGCACATGTCTGCATGTCAGGGGGAACCAAGGCCTCTTGATGCCATCAAAGGCAGTATCCGGGCTTCTTTTAAAATCTTAATGAACTCAGAGCTCAGTGACTCTGGAAGGCTGTGGGAAGAAACATCCTGTGTCTCTT